AAACCTGAAGGTCCTGAGCTTGATCCCTGGCGGGTTCATAGGCTCGTGCTGCTGAGGGACTCTGTGCCAGGACGAGACAGTTATCCACTACTCTCAGGTTTTCGATGGTTTTCTAGTTAATGTCAGTCCACAGTGAATACTACCTGGTAATCAGAGATAGTCAACGTTATCACCTCTATCATTATCGTTATTATTACTTGTATTATTATCGCCATCGTTATTTTAAAACATTTATCACAACCGACAAATCTACATGATATATATATATATATATATATATATATATATATATATATATATATATATATATAGACACACCTAATGGCCATTGGCTGACACTTGCAATATTTCTTGACCTGAAGCTGGTTGCATTAGATTCAGTCGACTGTGAGGTGTTGTGGCAGTGTTTGACTGTGAAGAGGATACCGATCAAGTATATAACGCTAACCAAAGCTCTCTGCTGGAAGTCACGCAGTCACTCCAAGATTAATGGGAAGTTATCATGTGAATTGATGACAACTAGTGGTGTCCGCCAGCGATGTCCACTGACACCACTCTTATTCACCTTCTTTATTGACGTAATGATGGACATAAACTTAGGTACATCTGACTCCACAGGGATTGACCTACTCCACGCAGGTCATCTGGTTGACTTGCAGTATGCAGACGATTTTGTTCCACTAGGTGAAGACGCTAACAAAATGCAGAGTTTTCCGGACTCATTGAGCAGAAATCTGAGTATGTTTGGCACGTGTTTCGCTGGCATCTGTCAAATACAAAATGGTGCTCTGGTCTCCTGCAAATACTGTCAGTTTAATTATAGGGAGTGATGTGGTGGAATGTGCCGATCACTTCACTTACTTAGGAGGTTGTAACAGACCGAACGGGTTGGTTTCTGTCAAAATCTCATTTGGGATATAGAAGGTCTGTTTGGCATTTGCAAACTTTCTTCATGTATGGGGCCAATTGGCGAAATATCCGTCCATCTATCAAAGGGCGAGTACACTTCGCTACAGTCTGTTCCACCTTGTTATAAAGCTGTCAGACGTGGTCTTTACGAGTGGAAGACATGAAGTGGTTACAGGGTTTTGACTACAGATATCTTTGTATCACTTCTCGCGTGTGGTGGAATCCCCTGTGTGAGCAATGTTGAAGTCAGTCAGGCGAAGGATACTAGGTAAGATAGGCAAGTCTATTTATGAGGTTGTGGAACTTCACTGACTAAGGTGGCTTGAACATATGCAGAGTCACTGCCTACCTCGATGTAAAATACTAGATGGAGTTGGATTAGGTTGGATGAAGGTTCAGGGTGACTAGACGAAGACCTGGCATGAGTCCATGTAATCTTCTGCTAATGGTCTGAGGCGTGAGGGGCAATGTAAGCTGCTTGGCTGGTTGGGGTCCCAAGACGAAAGTAATCAGTGGTTGAGGACTCTGGATGATATGGCTGAAAATCAGTCACAATAGTGCAAATATATTTACTCCTTGACATCTTCCTAAGCCTGAATATTCGCACTAACCGTTTTCTTCAGATCAATCATTCTCTCATACTACTTTATCTACTTTGAAATAACTTTTTCTTCCCAGCTGTTCTTTTTTGTACTACTTTGAAGTGCAGAAACTTGAGCTGATGCACTTGAGTTGCAAGTTTCACATCGATTTCAGTCAGAGTCAATCAGTCACTCATTCGGGCTTTGATTGACCTCCTGAAGGACTGTATTACGTATATGACTAGTCACTGAAGAGTAGCGAATTTCATATTGTTTCGTCTGAGGTGCTGCTCTGATTCTATCGACCATGTTACAATCCATATGTTAGAAAAAATAATTTAGTTTTTATATCACCTAACATAATGAAAAGTTGCTGCAAATATATCTGTGGAATTCATCAGCAATAAAATTCCTATGAATTTCTCATCATTGGTAGCTAGGTTGATGGTTATATGTATTTCCTTGCTAAGCTGAATGTGAAGGGTAAACTATTGACGGAAATTGTCCTCCATAAATTTCTTACTTAGTAAACACTCTTTTCATCAGATCTTCATAAATCTTCAAAATGTTAATTTGAGTAATTTTTTTCTGTGAACAATACTAACTGAAAAGCTTTGTAGGATCACTCATTATTTACAATAGATAACTTTTAAAACTGACTGTTCATTTTAATAAACATCAGTGAACTAGCTGGGACTGTCACTGGCAGCATCTATCAGTTCTTTTCAGTATATTTTGTTATCTGTCAAAATCAGTTCAACAGATGTTATAACTTGTAGTTTGGATTCTTCGATTAGATGAATAACACTTGTAGTGTTTCATTTCGTTGCCAAACCTACGACTTATTATATGATATTTAGATGTTAAGCTTCATAGTTGACATCCCCTTCGTACCAATCAGCCAGATCTAACGATATCACTCAGTAAATGATACTGTATCGTCACGTATTATAACAAACAAGCAATCTAATGCTAACTAACCTATTGAGAATTTGGCATTAGCACATGAGATATACAAATAAAAATAGTGCTCACTACAGGATGATTTTGATTGAAAACTAGACAGCGAATAGGATTAAAAGTAACGTGAATTGGATGGAAATTACCACTAACAGTTGCATAGAACCAATAAATTGTATCTCACTCTCCGTCTAATTGAAAATACTATTTCAATATTCGTTGAGGATATGTGTTTAGATATTTCTCACTGACATAATTACTCATAAACTATACCATATACAGAAAGAAACTATAGAGATTATTCAGTATTGTGTAGAAGAAATCATATAATATTTTATTGAGGAAACCTTGCTAAATGACATAATTCAATGAAGATGCTGTAAGATTGCTGTAACTGTTCACTTCATAAAAATAATCATTATTTTCCTTGCTTCATAAACGAAGTATCGTATACTGTTCGTCTGTTCAGAAGGCAGAATTTCTTTAGTTATATATTATCATGATTTCAGAAGAACAAATCATGCGGGGATCGAATTGCAACACTATGCATCATCATTGAACAGAGGATTTTCAACACCAACGTCAAGTCAGTGCTGTTATTTGGTTCAGAAACTTGGAGTGTCATGAAAAGCACCTCCAACAAACTACAGGCATTCATCAACAGCTGCCTACACTGGCTTGTTACTGAAGATCAGGTGGCCAGAATAATAAGAATAAGCCACAGGAAACTCTGCGAATGAACCAACCAAGAACCTATCACTCAACAAATATGCAGTAGAAGAAAGTAGAGATGGATTCGATTGGGCACACACTGAGAAGACCATTCGAGGACACCATGTGCCAGGCCAGGCCGTCGAGTGGAACCGAAATGGGAAACGACGAGCTGGGCGTCTGAGCGAGGGTGACATGGAGGAGATTCTGTGAGGAGGAAATGAAAGCTTCTAGGCATTGGTGGAGCCAGGTTCAAGAGACTGTAGTGAAGAGAGTGAAATGGTGAAGTGCTAGTGAAGCCCTCTGTTCCACTAGGAACCCAAAAGACAAGTAGTAAAAATAAAAAATATATTATCACATTGATTTGGGGATTTGTGGTGATTTTTCAACTTGGTATTCATCATGGACTGACATCAGTCGGAGGAACATTGGGAATCTGGGAGCACTGGACAGATGTTTTGTCCTAGTATTGCACTCCTCAGAAGTGCACACCATGGCCCCATATAGCCTGGGATCGAACCCGCAGCCTTCAGGTTCCGTGGCCAGCACGTTACCATCTAGTCATTGGGTCGGAATCCATTGATTAATATTCCTAACCTCTGTCAGTTCACTGCATAGCGTGATCATCATCCAACTTCATCGCTGAGTATTTGTCCTCATAGCCACCAAGTTTGCCTCACCGGTCACGACTTCTCATTGGAACTTCAGAAATCAACTCTCGAAGCTAGTCACCAACTTGAAAAGCCTCTAAATCCCCATAACCCCCCCCTAGATTAAATTGATCGAGTGCTCATTGGTGATTAACTTCGTGAGGCGATTCCTGAAGTTTCAATGAGAAATCATGACCGGTGGGGCAAACTTGGTGGGCATGAGGACAAATACTCAACAGTGACATTGGATGATGGTCATGCTATGTTGAGAAGTGACAGAAGTAGGAAATATGGACTATTGGATTTTGACTCAGTAGCTCGCTGGCCACGGAACCTGAAGGTTCTGGATTAGATCCCTGGCTGTGGTTGTGCACTTCTGAGGAGTCCGGTACTATGACGAAACATCTATCCAGTGCTCCCAGATTCCCAATGTTCCTTCAACTGATGTCAGTCCATGATGAATAACGACTTGAAAAGTACTATCATTTTGTTATGAAACGTCCTGACGACTACACTTGAACAAAAACTAACTCCAATAATATTTATCTATAAACCTTAATTCGTATCCTATTTACTTAAGCTAACATCTATTACTAGACATCATATTACGAAATCATGTAGCCTGTCTCAGACTGACAGCTACATTGTTTAATTTTATCCTATAGATAGTTATCAGTACTTGCAATCAGAGTTGTTTATTTACTATGAAATTTACTGTGGTTCCTATGAGTGTTTGTTTAACTCTCTCAATCAAGTTAGAATTGAGAATAGATGTTCACCGATGAAAGTCGTTAATGGTTGCAGTATACAGTGAATTGACAAAAGTTGAAAGACGCCGACTATTGAATACCAATACAGTGACTAAATGGGAAACCTGATGGTCCCTAGGTTGATTCCTCATGAGTTCTGAAGGTGTACTACTCAGGTGTCACCAAAATTAACAGGAATAGTTGTTCAGTGTTCCAAGGTTTCAAATGGTTCTCCAACTGGTGATGATCCTTGTGGGAAACTACTCTAAAAGTAATCGTTCCCTATAGAATGCCCCAAATTTGAAATTTAATCAAACTGTTTTATTGCAAATGCTAGTTGATTTTTTTACTGGTGACTTAATTTGTATAAGGTAATAATAATTTACTTTGCCAGTATGTTATATATGAATGTAAATTTTTGTTTTAAAATCCACTTATAGCTTAACGACAGTGAGATTCACGGTCTAACAAGTCCATCCTATCGAAATAGTCTAACACATCCATACGACACTGACACTACAACGGTAACCATGGCAACTGATACATTGAATGGAAATCATAACAGTGCTTCCACAAGTCTTCAATGCTCTAAATTTCTTGGTCGTTGGATTGATTACTGTCCAATTCTATGGGGTCAAAAAGCCTCGATGGGTATTAAATCATCATCAGCTGCCACTGAATGGATTACAACTGCAGCAACTGCTACTACTACTACTACTGCTACTTCGACGGCTATGACAACAACTCGTTTAGATACTCTACATCAATCGTATATCATTTCACAAAAGACTCAGCAAGAATCACAAAATGAAACAAGTGAGCAAAATAATGAAGACAATACGAACGACTATATCAATTCTAGTACGAATGAAGAATCTATTGAAGAGTGTTATATTCCTGAACCTGTATTCAATTTGTTTTTACATTTAGCACAAAAGGGTGTCTATGCTAAAGATTTATTTCGGCGTCCAGGAAATATGGCTCAAATAAAAGTGAGTAGTTTTGTTGATATCGTTTTTATGCTAAAAAAAATATGTGAATTTCTGTGAGAATTGCTTTCTACACTGGTATTCAATTATGCATGTCCACTTTTTACTGAAGATAACTAACTCCTTGTAGATAAGTGTATGGCATCGAAGAATCCTAGCTCGGAACATGTTTCTATAGAAGCATGTATCAATGTTTTCAGGATTCAAAAATTCAAGATTCTACACTTCATTCACTAACTTTATGATCTAGTGTAAATCGCATGAGCTGTAGAAACTCCAAAAACCAGGGAACATCTTGGAACAGTTCCATCCTGTTCTCGAACTCTCCAAGATTCCTATAGGTAGTCACCTTTTTTCCTGAGTCAGACATCCCCTTATCTTGGGCGTTTGTTTCCATTTGCTGTTATTCATAGTGGTCATTAGTCAATACTTCATTGTCATTTAGCAGGATTCCCCTATCAAAATATGAGGCTTACCGTTAAGTACGTAAGGCTACAGAAACGGTAATTGTGTAAAAATGCAACACGTTTTCACCAAGCCTGAAAACTCGGTCTCCAGTTGGTTGTAACCATATCATGAATATGCTCTACTGCTTTGACTAAATATCAGATTACCTGTTAGTAAGTAGTAGTCCTTGAAAAAAGAGAATTGCAAAATTAATCATCTCGTTATAGTGTTTTTGTTTCTATTGTCCTGTCGTTGTGTGGACTGTGCAAGAGCCTATCTGCCAATAGAGATTGGCCAACTCGGTCTAACCCGTCACATAAGAAGTAGCTATCGTGACTCAGTGGTCTAGTGGGTAACGCTCTGGCGTTAGAAGAGACCCGTCCGGGTCCGAGTCATACGATAATTCAATGTGTCTGCTGACAGACATAGTTTAGATAACATTTACAAACAGCTGGTTATGTATCATTGAATTATAGTTGTCGTTTGTAAGTATCAAAATATTTTTCTAGACTAGAGCATATTGTAATGGCGACTGAACCTATGCCTAAAACATGATAAGTAATATGAAATATTGGAGAGTAGACTTCTTATTAACCTATGTAATTTCTGCAACCAGAGATTAGCCTGTCAAACGATTGCAGTCAGGTAATCACTAGTATTCGTTTAGCTAACCAACACTTCACATTTTATCATTCAGGTAAGAAGCAAGAAATTGGTGCTTTGTTGAAAGGCAAGTCACAGTTTCAGTATGACAGTTGATGAGTTAAGGTAATTTCATTTCATCGAACACTTAAAATACTGATGGACTTCCTTCCTAAAAGGATGTATACCAAGTTCCAGCTAACGTCTGAATCAACCCTCGGGGGAGTAAGAAAGTCAAACACCATATCTGTCACTGATTGTCTTCATTCATCTTAATTACTGATACATTTGTACACTGAGTCATTTTCAAAATTGACAATAGTTATTCACTCGTTAAGTTTCTACGCCTGATTACAACCTTTATCTGCCCTTCTCATGGTACATGATTTTTTCCTTTGTCTATAGTTAGTTTGTAGGTAATTCTCTTTAAAATCAGTTAGTATTATTGAAACACTTACTCAATCCTTCGTGCTCTCTGAGTAGCAAGGAACCAATCATATAGAAGATGACTGTGATTTATTTGCATAAGCTCATCAACTGAACTATGTGTGGAGAGTAGGAATAATGAAAAACGATTATTAAAACAAAACTGATGAACACTTGTTCAGGGAAAACTGATTCTGTCCCCTAATTTGCTTATACATTATAGTTCTCCTTAAACAAATGTAAACTAACTAATTTTTTTCCCGCAAATATCAGAATAACGCTAAAACTTATGGATAGAACTAGTTATTAGCCAATAATTTTTATCCCTTAATACAGTTAACACTAAAATCTTGAAAACAGACTTTGAACTTGAATAAAATTGTCTTTATCGTTTATCGGTATCGGATCCGAAATATCTTGACGTCATACTGACTATAATTGTTTAATTCTGTAATAAATTGGAAGGCTTATACAAAACCAGCTGTTAAAAGAAGAAACAGTACATAGTAGAGATAAGTTGGATAAATAAATGTGGAATTGGCAGAAGATAAAAATACTTCCAGAACTCTGTACGTTTCATTCATCTTGACAGTTGTTTCTATGCATCAGCAAAGAGTTAAAATGTAATTAAAGTAAACTGATAACATCTTAAACATTAAATGATGAGTTAGGATATTTAGCCTCATTTTCAAAAATTCACCACTTCTTAGAGCAAAGAAGAGAAGGTAGACAGTTACATGGTTGTTCTGAAGCAATGGGTACGTTGTTCGAGTCCAAGTCCAAACAACATCAGTCATTGGGGTTCAGGTACATCCACCTGAAGAGTTGCAAATAGGATGAAACGTGCATCCTGAATTCCTCTGCTAGCTACAACCAAACAAATTACCATAACTGGCATTCAGGCAATATCGAGGCATCCGCATAGGAGCCCATGTGCCAATAGAGGTCGAACAATTCGATCCAATAAGACAACGAGAATTACAAATATATCAATAAGTAGTTACACGGTTAGTTACTGATCACCTTTCTCACATGAAAGGATGACGAAACGTTTGGGAAAATATCAACAAACTGCACGATTGAATAGTCACGTTAAAATGAATAACTAGAAATCTGTTATTATCTGCTTGGGAACTAACAGTGGAATTACAGGACGCACGTCACATCCTATTTGATAGGACACGTCAGCTAAATGTACTCGCATCCCAGTGAGAGATGGTGTTCATATGGAGACTGGAACTCAGGACTGGTCGTTTCAAACACCAAAGTGTTATGTACTAGGTCTTTGCCTGACGACAGCATGAAACTCTGTTACTTTAGAATTTGAATTTTAACAAAGATCAGTGTTTGCTGAATGCGTTCATAAGTTCATGAAGTGTTTCCCAAATTTTGGCTGGAATTTCCTCATTTTCCATACCTACAGTAACAATAGTCACTACCCAATGTAAGAATAGATTTTCATAAGAGCTTAACATAAAATCATCAGTACTCCTCACTTGAGTTGTTCTCTGAGCTAACGTTTTGGTTGGCAACGGTTTCTACATTATACCTGATATCGTCAGCTGTGCTTCATAAAAAATTCATCCTTTAAAATCTCTGATGTGCTGATGGCGATGTCTAGCATGATATGGAAAGGTTAGACAGTTAAAACCCCATTTCACAAAACAATTCTATCTGAACATCTACATCCTGAGCAACAAATATTATCCACCATCTCTTGATAATCAGCATACTTTTACCTCAATGTACAAGGAGTGTGATAAGAATGATAAAGTAGACAGCATTGATTGCTTTGAATACTCAACTGCATCAAGTTGGAAACTTTGTTTCAACTAGAGTTGAGTGAATTTGTGCGCCGGAGGTTTTAGAAAAGAATGAAGGATTGATTACCGCCCAGCCGGGGATTATTAATGTAAGCAGTCAATATCAGTGATAAAATCTTTATACCTTTAATCTCCGAAGGAAAAAAAGTTTCTTTAAGGTTGTATATGCATCTTGCTAATTGATGCGAATAATACGTGAACTCAATTTTATGACTTTTGGTCAACTGTTCATAGATATCCAAGAGAGGAAATATAAATTAAATATTCCTTTCCTGCACTTCTTATAACCACTTTCATGAAACTGATCCTTTACAGAACTTCACTCACAAAGTGTACCATTTGCGTGAACGTTGAATGAATTTTCACAGCTCACTATCTGTCAAATGGAAGTGAAAAAAATAGATGTTTGAATTTTACAGCAGTGACTGAGTTTTATCCTGCTGGCCACGAGATGTGACGCATTTGAAATTACTCCATCAGGAGATTGTGGCTATGTACTGCTGAAGGAATCGAAACTAGGACGAAATAACTGTTCAGCTCTCTCACATATTCATTGGTTCTCTGGCTGGTGTCAATTCATAGTGGAAACCTCACTGCGGTTTATAAAACTTAACGTCATAGATTGTTTCATTACACCGAAATTGATTTGATATGTTTTGAAGTTTCTTGGAGTTGTTTTACTATGTAAACTATTTTATATCCAAAGAAGATGCAACTTATTCACCCTAAAACTGTGCGCTTTTCTGAGAAGCTTTTCACTCATTTTTAGTAAAATATTGGCTAGTTACTTAAGTAAGTAAGTAAGTAGTTACTTAAGTAAGACTCAGTTCTGATTATAATGTATCAGCAATTTATCTGTTACATGTATACCAAAGAGAAAAGGGTACTTTTGAACTCCATTATAGTTACTTTCTAAATCGAACGGTATACATTTTCTTCTGGACTGAAAATGTATACTACCTTTCTATTTATAAAAGACTTCGGAAATAAAATCAATTGATCCCAATTTGAGTTCTATCTATTTTTGTTTGGTTCATGCTTTATTTAAGTGAACTTAGTTAGCCTTTCTTCAGGACAATCTTGATTTTTTTTATAAGATAATAACTCCTTTCATGTTGTTTGTTTTCATTATTATTCTACTCGATTCTCCGCCAAATTCAAAATCAACTTTTATGAGATAAAATGTCATGATTTGGTTGGTTGATGTGATTTCGAACTATCTGCGATATTAAGCATTTCCCTTCTTATCAAGTGGAAACTTGAGACCTAAAAAAAGGCTATAAAGTTATCATGAGAAAATAAAGGAATTAGTTCACTGTTTTGCTATAGCAAATAATTACCGTTTCCACTAACATATACGGTGTGCTTACTACACCGTAGTGTAATGTAACTTCGACCTTCACGCTTTCTGAATAAGGAATAGAATCGGGATGAAGTGACTTTAAAGGCTGTCCTAAAAACTGCTGAGATTACCAACTACGTTTATTTTTGCAAAAAATAATTTCCTAGTCAAAATACTGAAACTTGATTGGTTGTTTTGTCAGTTTCTAAGGTAGTCTTTACAGTTACTGTTCGAATGCATCGACATTATTGAATACGAAGTACCAAACAGGCTTTCAACTTAACTCATGGGTTGCTTTATTCTGTTTTGATTATATATATATA